ATAAAAAAATATAATGTATAAAACATCATATATTTTTTAAATTTATTTTCTATCAGATATTTTTCATTTTTATATTCCGTATTTTTCCAACGGATATACACATGCAGCATAGCGATTATATTAATAAAAAAGGAGGAAAATAGGTGAACGATATTATTTGAATTATTCGAAAGAGATTTAAATAATTCACTTTACCGAGAGGCATAGGATATTGATTACCAGTATTTTGTGATATTATACTTTTGTTTTTTTTTTCTTTCTTGTTATTCACGCATTTTGTAATTCTCAGTCACGCATGTTACCAGCTCAATATGTTACACAGGTAACATATGTTTACAAGATATCCAATAAAAAAATCGTCCAATAAATGCGAATAAAATAAAATCGGCCAATAAAAGCAAATAAAATAAAAAATAAACGATGAGAACAATATTTGTAAAAAGTAATATTTTGACGAAAGATCTTTCTCTCTCTTCTTGATAAATCCGGATAAATATCCGGACATATAATATACGTCCTATAATTTCTTTCGACAAATGCCTTCAATAAGGGCATAAGATATCTATCTTACCTGGCATACGTTAGCAATTACATTATCTACGCATGACTGTTAGCAGCGACATGCGGACGTTTATACATATGTCTTGTGGCATTGTAGGCAATGTACCCGCGTCGCGTCGCCCCTCGAATCAAACTAGGAGCTACATTGTACTTAGGACCATACATACAACACAATTCACGCGGCTTGTATATGTGCTGCGCACAGTAGAATCACAGTTTGCATATATATCAGTCTAGATGCACATGTACCACACGAGTCCATTCGCTTGCACCTTCATACGGATGGCTTACAAAAGGCGCAAATACTAACCGAAGAATTCTACTTTAGAAGGCACTTGAACCCAATTTTTCAATCAATTTATTTTCTTCCGATCATTTCTCGAGTAAAAAATAAAATTTGATTTAATGACTTTTTAGATGCAAACGAATGAAAAAAATAATTCTGTCATTAACTTTGAACAACATTTTAGTGAAATGTTAGTTTTGCAAATATGAAAATTGCATGAAAAAGTCGATTATTAAATACAAAATACAATGTTGCAAAATGTGGAATGATGTCCATATAGTAATTGCAATAAAATATGAAATGTTTGTTTCATTCTTTTCATGCGTATGTACTTATCCATGCGTATACCATTAACTATCGTTATTTAATTTTGCAAACAACACAATTTCCAACCATTTCGTTCGTATGTCAATATTCATATGTGTTTTATTTACTCATTGCATGATGTTTTAGATTCTGTATTTCATACGAAAATCTGAGTAATGAAAACTTGGGAGTATTTCGATAAAGTCGTGTAATTATTCGATTATGTGATAAATCCTGCTGACCAAACATCAATCTCTCTAAATTTATTGCCTCTTTTTTAATCACAGTATATACCATTTATTCTTAAAATTTAGTTTATCAAAAAAATATCGCGTAATAAATAATAATTAAAATTAATAAAAAAATGATGAGCGCAATGATACGTGTACAAATAAATATTTTAATTTAGAAGATTTGATTTTACACATTATGAAAAAAAATAAAGATCAAGTTGTACATAATAATACTAATATTAAAATATCAATTTAGATTTAGTTTCTTTAATTAACAGTCATATGTAATGTACGAGTATCTGAACAATCAAGGAAATAAAATTTCTTCATTGTATTCGAAATACCGCATAACCGATTTTATTACAATTTTATTGCCCGGTGCATGAACGAGTCAAGTGCAACGGAATATATATATATATATATATATATATATATATATATATATATATATGCTTTGTAGTAGTGCATGAAAATAATGTCGGTTTTTCCCACGCGTCCAGTTTTTCGTAAAGGGTACACACGACCGAGTCGGATATTGGAATTTTCAATGGTCGTCCTGCGCCATAGGGGGTGGAACGACATGATGCATCGAGATGCAACGAGCCGCGTGATTCATCGCGGGATGCAGCGCGATGCAGCGCGATGCAAGTTCGTCATGCATGCGTCGTTGTGCATTCAACAACGGATTCCACTTCTTCCAGTGTTATTCTTGCCCGCGTTATGTTTTATTAATCCGTTTCGTATGTAGATGAAACGTCTAATTTCGCATCCGTCAATCTCTCTTTTTTTCATGCGTGATTTTCTACTCTATTATGACACGTAAAACGCGAGACATTGGGTACATCTACGTGAATATTGCGCTTTATCTTTTATATCGTGTGCAACTAAGAACACAAATAAAAGTAATTACTATAAACTATAAATGATTCAAGATATATTAGTGATATTTTTATCTTAGAGTCTCATGACTAATAATTTTTACAAAACATTATATATCATATCTTTTATGTTTACGAACGAAATGATACCTATCAATCGAAATTATATTTATCATTTTCTGGAAACTCTTGATTAATAGAATAGGTCGCTAAGTTCATATAGATGTAATATAGCACGTATAGTTGTATATATTTATTGTATTTAATTTCGAAATGCCCACAAGAAGATTCTGTACGTAATTTATGCATTATGTAAATAAGAGATTTTGTATATATATATATATATATATATATATATATATGTATATAAATTAGAACTATATTGTACAAGCTAAAATTAGCATTAAAAGCATATGATAAATATACTTGTTTACCGCTCATTTAAAACTTCATAATTAACATAACATAAACATATTAAGATTTAAAAAATTCAAGATTGTTCTCGTAGTTTTGAATAAGAAAGATTGATATAAAACATTTATTCTGTTTTATAATTTAATCTTCAAAAATATTGAAAGCTCATATAGGAGCTACTTTTATATTACAAAAAACAAAATTATTTCATCTAAGAAAAATGTTTGCTATACAAAAATTGCTATTAATATTATTATTAGATTATAATATATTATTAGATTAGATTATTAATATTATATTAGATTGACATTATACATGAATTACTTTTATAAGAAATATCGAATTATTAATTATTGCAAGAGAAAAGGAAAAACCCAGTAAATGTATTTCTGTATCTACAAAAGAGAACACAGGACTCTATTTATGTATTAAATAGATCGACAAAAGTTTAAAAGATAAAAAATTAGAAATTTTGATGTTTAAAAATATAATCTTGTTTACTAAAAAATTGCTTCCATAAACAGAGCTATAACAAAAATTTTAATTGCGCATATCGTTAACCATTTCATGTGAATCTCACTTAGCAAGCACTTGCGTTAAACTAAAATTAAGTACGAAATATGCGCATTATGTATGCATATGTGCAAATTGAAAAGGCCGCACACAAATTTATTTATCATTTATGATGCCTGAGTCGAAAGACAAGCCAGAAATAAAAGCGTTATAAAATTTTACTACACTCAATGTAATGCATTTTTCATTGGATCTTTTATTTGCTTCTCCTTTTTCTCATCATATTTCATAAATTATTTTTTAATATATTGTTATTTTCTTCATTTTATGTCCTCGAATATGCTTTATTATTAATACTTATTTCTAATATTATATACATACATACTAAAATACGTTGAATTATTGTTATTCATCTATAATTTTTTTACAGCTGCATATCATAATTTGCAACAGTTTAAGCATTATTCGTGAACACATTTCTATATGTTTTATAATATAAACATAATATTATTTTTGAAAAGCAAATTATAAATTATTCTAATGTTGCATTATTTTCAATATATTTTTATCATGTAATAACGAATATAATTAAATGGAGATAATATATAGTGAACAATTAATCGTGTAAATACAATTATCTAACTCTAGCGATTTACTTGCGTCAATATCTTTTATTATCGTCTCTATTGTGTCGTCTATTGTGTCAGTTTGTGCAGGTGTATACGAAAATTCAGAGATTGCGATCAATTAACGCCATGCAATGATTATACTACACCTTGAACGGCATTACGAATGTATGCGGATATACACCTGAACGAGCGAATAAAACGCGAACGAACACAATGCGCTTAAAGAAACAAAGAAACAATATTTTCGCGTCACTCCGATAATCACGAAAGTTTCACGATTGCGAAAAAAATCATGACGATCGACGTCTCGCGGAATCTCCTTCTTTCTCTTCCCCTTTTCTTTCACTTCCCCCTTACCTTGTACAGCAAGAGAAATATATTCATCGCAAGCCCGAGATTTATCAAGATATTAATTATATAAATATTAAGAAAATCCACATTTCACATGCAAGACATTGATTTAATTCTTTGTCTCATTTATTATAGTGAAAAATTAATTATCGCGCTGTCATCCCGGACACTACATATTGCACACACGTCATGATTTAATTTTCTACAATATATTTTTGAACAAATGCGATGTTGTGACATTAAATGAAATACGTAGCAAAATGGAAAACGGTGGAGAAAACGCTGCGGTTGACTCGATGGCATTTAATCATCACGTGTGTATTGCAATGCATATTTTGTTTCTCCATTAATTTCATACAATTCCTCTTTATGCTTCATATTAAAACGCTATATGTTAATAAGAAAATTTTTCAGTTAATTGAATGTCATGCAAAGGTCTAAAATTTATGATATTTTTCACGTAAATCTAGATTACAAAATTATATCTACATATATTTGATCGTGGAATTAATTAAAAAAAAAAAAACAATAAATAAGAACCACATATGTGAAGATTAAATATTAATATTCTACATATAGATGAAAATGTACATTAAAATGCAAATCTACCTTTATGCTAGAATTTTTATATGAGTTGATCGCACTAAATATCGTTCAAATATAGTACTTAAAAATGGGAAAATTCAGAATGGGAATGAAGAATGCGTGAACAGTTGCGTTTGCAATTCGCCGCCATCGCCTATTTCAATGTTCTCCCTTTGTTCACGACTCTGAACTCCCTCGACACGCATAACTTTGCTCACGTCGCCGTTTCTCTGCCGTGTTTCAGGAAGATGCGGGCATGGATCGCCATGCGAGCAGCTCTGCTACGAACTTCACGACGGCATGTACGAGTGCGTCTGCAAGGACGGCTACATACTTCATAAAAATGGATACAGCTGCGCCGGTGAGTGCGCGAATAGATGTGTAGGTGTGAATAGATTCGATCCTTATCCCGCTTTGCAATTCACATTCATGGCGGGCGACATCTTTGATTTCCGTAATAAAATACCGCGTCGCGCCGGGCCGACAAACTTTTTGACGGCGTTCCTATTGTTTTCAAAGCACCGCTTGCTTCCAGTCACCGGCTCGTTGAAAATATTTCGTTTGACTCCAGAATACAGTTATATCAAGAGATTTGTTTCAAGATTAGCTTCAAACACGAGTTATCGTCTCCAATTGGATTTTTTTTCTCTTTTTTTTATAACAATATCGAGAAAATATATTAGAAAATGTTAGAAATATGTTTTGAATTTTTTAAAATAAAATTCATAGTTTATTTGATTATCTTTAATTTTATATAGAATATATTTTAATTTAAAGACTTTATATTAATTATCATTTCTTTTAACCTCGATATTTTTTTTTAATTTCTTAATTTACACTTCATTATGGTATCTGTAAATTAAATTTTAGGAAAAAAAATTTCTTTTATATTTAATTTTTACATTCTTCCATTATTGTGAGACATATCCTAACAATAAGTTTAAATATTCAAATTCCAAGTTCGAGATTGTGCGCCGGATTTAATTATAAAAAAAAGTTAAATAGCGCACTTAATTTTCCTTAATCGATACTTTTAATTATTTCGTAATATCCGCAGAAATAATAACATAATTTGTATAATGCATAAAATTTATTTATCGTACCGTTGAAAAATTGCGGGGTAAAAAGCTCGCGCTAGTTGCTTGCAGATTTATTTCAACAATCTCAAGTTCAAGCTGTTTACTGTGCCGCGCCCGTATTAAAGGTAATATCTCATTTCGCGTGGAATTGCGCGGAATACATCTCGCGTCGAGCTTATGAAATAGAAGGGAAGAAGAGAAGGAAGCCATTGTGAGAGAAAAATACGCTAAAATGGTCCATAAATTATGTAGAATTTTAGGAGGCACGATTTATCGTTAGTCTAATCTCATACAAGAGTTTTTATACTACATCATGAAAGAGAGAAGTACGTTACACATTTTGCTATATATTCGATATACATAATCAATACGTATGATTAAAGCAAAAGTTAAATATATTGTACATAAATAAAATCAATGTTTTAACTTTAATAAACATGACAGATACGAAATTTATTTTATTTATATTATGACAGGACATGAAAAATAATTTACATTTTTATTATCTCTTATATAATTTTATATTTCCCTTTTTATTTTGAATAAAAAAATGTGAAAAATTATATATGAAAGAACTGAATATAAAATTATTTATTAAATAAAGTTATATTCTATATATTATATAGGAAAAATTATATATCTTATAAAAAATATTATATAAAATTATATATTATATTATAAAAACTATAAAATAAGTATATTAAAAACACAAAATATTCATATTTACGCATTTTAATCGGGTTAGATGTTATCGTACCTTAAAATGTTATCAAACTGCACTAAAGAATGCCTTACTCGATGCAATTGCTGCAACAGAATTACGCGGTTCCGTTTACCCAATAGACGTTTTTCTCACGAATGGACGCGACAGGAAATTCAGTGAGAAGTTGGTCGACGATCGCCTCCGTTAATTGCTTTCCGATTGATTGTTCGCGGAATTCTATTATTACAGTCTGTCCTAGATCGGAATGCTTATCTCAGAACACTAGCGACTAAAGTTCTCTTTTATAGTCTTGCATCAACAATTTATTTTTCTTTCAAAAAAGAGAGAGAGATTTGTACGCGCAATGCTCTACATGAATTTACATTCCCGTTTATTTACCAAGTTTCTATTTCGCGAATTTATCTATGATTTCTAAAAGAGATGATTAGATGCAAATAATTGATCAAAGTTCGCAAAAGAATAAAATCTTATTATAAGATTTGTGCTAATAATAATGATATTGATAATTAATGAAAATGAAATACGATAGATTACAAAGAAGAAATTACATCATTATGTAACATGTTTATTCTTGACTTGTTATATTACACAAAACGTAATTTGCAATAAAATAAAAATTTTGATTCGATTTCTGTTCGATAAAGTGTATTTAAAAATGATTAAAAATTGAAATGTAGAAACTCGTGTCCAACTTTGTGTCCACAGCTGTTCCATAGAACATCAACAATTGAAAATTGTCCTCTAATGTACATGAACAGAAATTTATAATCAGCCATTTAAATATTACATACATACATATTTAAATATTACACGATTATTGCGAATCGGATTCCAATAACGTTATTTTCAATTTCCCTGTACATTTAACGGATATGTTGTCATATGTTGTCATTTCAATTCCTTATTTTGGATCTCTCCTCTGGATTTAATTTCGTGGAAATCTGAGAAATTTTCAACATTTTCGAGTTCTATTTCGTTTAAGCTTCTGCTAAATCTGATGGTACCATGCGAATGCTTCCCTCTTCGTTCGCCGTCTTCGCGAATCCACATCAATCTATCTTGCACTAATTGTGCTATCTCCAATACGATAGTGTCTGCGCGAATTTGATTCTTATATTGATTTTACCGTCGATTTTGATTTTCAATTCAGCAAACTCCGCTCCGTGGTTAAATCGAATAAGTCGATTTCTTCTTGTTGTCGTTTCTTCCTCTGAATTTCACTGCTTCTGAGAACGCGCGGTAGAATTTCAACGTCTTCCATTTCCACAGACTTGACACTTTTAATCACACCGACTTCTCATTGTCAACTCTAATGCCTAATCTGGCAACTTTTTCTTCTGTATTAATTTATCCAGCTCTTTTTTGTTCAATGCGGCAATATTATCAGTCTCTCTTCCTTATTGCCAATTTTCTCACGTATTTGGAAAGTCTCCATATCGTTAAATTGCTTTAAATTTACTTCATTTTCTTGAACATCTGCAATTTTAATTGTTCCAGTGATTTTGCTGATTCTTAAAAGCAAGTTTTGTCAAAGATAAAACTGCCGGGGATTTCTTGATCACTCATTTCGACATTCGAACATGAGTTTTAATGATCTTGCCACTAAATTTAATTAATTACAAGTCGGCACTCTGACGGTTTGCTACGTCGACGATTTTACAGATATAGTTATCTACGATTGCTTGAAATTAATTGGACATTTCATTTTATAAGCTGCTATTTAATTCATTTACTTATATTTGTTTTGGTCTTCACTTTGCTCTTCGCTTTATTTTTATCAAGATTTTTTCAATTAAATTCGAAGAAAAGAACCATTTCATTATTGTTTATAGCATTATCGAGAAATCGAAACGTTACAAGATTGATATAATTTATATAAGATCGAGACACAATATTGATAATTTTATCGAGAAATCAGATCTTTTCTTGACATTTTTTTTTAAATAAAAAGTGAGAGAAATTATTGAATTACGTATTAACGTGATAATCAATTTTAGTATATATCAAATTTAGTATATATCAAATTTAGTATATATTATTATTATTATAAGTATCGTGTGATAACAAATCGTTAGTGATACAAAAGTTTCGCAAGTTTAATTTTTTTTTCTTTCCGAGTTATTTCACAAATCATATAGATGATTCATTAAGAATAAAAACTAGTACCATCAAATTCTTTTACAACGAACTTTACCTATTTATAATAATCCAAGAGAATTTGAGTCATAATAAAAACTAAAATTTCTATATTTTTTATTTATTTTTTCGAAAATAATTTTAATGAATTAATGATATTTTTATCATTAAAATAATTATACAAAATTAGGATAATTTTAAAATTAAATATAACTGAAAATGCTATTTTAATCATAAAAATCAATTATCTATTAGAAATATTTTCAAAAAATAATTATTAATTATATTTTTTGTTATAACTCACTTACAAATTACTATATCGATGTGTACGATACAGTTAAGTTAGTCACGCGTGAAATTTAATAATATATTTTTATCTATATTTGATATATATTAAAAACCGAATATTTTGATATATTTAAAATTTTATTACAAAACTATAAATAGAAATTTTTATCATATATAATAACATATTTTTATCATATAACAAATAATTATATCAATTACATCATATATGTTAAATTGTTTTATCGTTATTACTTTAATAGAATCGACAGAGAATAAGTAAAATATTAATTAGTTAAATAAAAAAGAGAAAATTTTCCAAACTTATATCATTAAGATATTTAATTAAAAAAGAGATGTAATTAAAAAATAATTTTACTAATAAAGTAATGTTAAATACGAAGAAATTAAATTCATCTGTAATTAAAAAGATAAAATAATTGCTAGTTGTATAATATAATAATATGCGTAGCTTAAACATATCTAAAATCGAATATTCATTAAGCTCTATTACAAGTAATGAAATTAGGATCGATGAGTAATTGCTAATTGCTCAACAGATTATTCGCTGAAAGCGTGGAAGGTGAATGCTTGCTAATTGATTGATAGCTAGCTTATATACAATGATGAAACGAGAATTCATCTATGAATGAGAAATCATTGCGCAAAGTGATACGGAGATAATAATTGTTCCTTCTACTCGTCTAGAATACAGCTTTCAATCATGCAAAAATTATTCGTCATTTGCATATGACCTTTGAATTTATAATCTAATTTTTTTGAAATATTTTGAAATTTATACGTATACAGGAATTATAAAATTACATTTATTATGACACCAATGTATCTATTTCAGACAATAAATTAAATCGATATCTACAATAATAATCGATAAGTTAGTCAAGTGCGAGGGTGACATTAATAATGATTGATCGACATTATGTGCCCTTTCCAGATATTTGATTTTCCTCTATGATTGATTAACTTCTCTTATAATCAATAATCTTCTAACCAATAATTTGATAAATTAACGCAGATAATAATTTCGTATTAACTAGTACATAAAAAACATGCAAAAATATGTTATTATAATCATATTATGCATTTTATTTTAATTAAATTATTTCATTGTAATCG